GAAGGAAGGAAGGAAGGAAGGAAGGAAGGAAGGAAGGAAGGAAGGAAAGAAAGAAAGAAAGAGAGAGAGAGAGAGAGACGGAGGGAGGGAGGGAGGGAGGGAAATGAGGGGACCACGTCCTCTCCCAACTACTTCAGAGGGCTGGTAGGCCTAGGGTCCTCCCTACCTGAGCACCAGCTTAGGGTGAAAGGGAGGAAGAGAAATCCTTAACAGAAGCATTATCTGTCCCTCTAACCCTCCTTTCAGAAGTGGCCGCTCTAAAAAGTCCTCTTGTCCTCTGACTCTTAGATCCCTCATACTTTTTACCTCATCCAGCTGTATACATGCAGTGAAACACACTTTAACTGTCCCAGATACTTGGGAGGCTGAGGCAGGAGGATCACTTGAGCCCAGGAGGTGGAGGTTGCAGTGAGCCATGATCATGGCACTACACTTCAGCCTGGGTGCACAGAGAAAGACCCTGTCTCAAACCAAAACCAAAACTAAAACCAAACAAAACAATAACAACAACAACAAAACCATACACACACCTTAGGACAGACCTCTGTAGTAGGATGGTGTATTTATGTACAGTGGCTAAAACTCGCAAGTAGCTGCTTACCCAGTCAGCCAGGCAGTCATGGTTTGTTTGTGTTTGTTTGTTTTTGTTGTTGTTGTTGTTGTCGAGACGGAGTTTTGCTCTCGTTGCCCAGGCTGCAGTGCAATGGCGCCATCTCAGCTCACCAAAACCTCCACCTTCCTGGTTCAAGCCATTCTCCTGCCTCAGCCTCCAGAGTAGCTGAGATTACAAGTATGCGCCACCACGCCCGGCTAATTTTGTATTTTTAGTAGAGGCGGGGTTTCTCTCTGTTGCTCAGGCTGGTCTCAAACTCCTGGCCTCAAGCAATCCTCTCACCTTGGCCTCCCAAAGTGCTAGGATTGGAAGTGTGAGCCACTGTGCTTGGCCCAAGTATTATTTAGGAAATACATTCCATAAGACTATAGCTGCCATAGACAGTCATTCCTCTGATGGATCTGGACAAAGTAAATTTAAAACCCTCTGGAAAATAACCCTCTAGATGCCACTAAGAATATCTGTGAGCCAGGCATGTTGGCTCATGTCTGCAATTCCAGCACTTTGGGAGGCTGAGGCAGGATGGCTTGAGGCCAGGAGTTTGAAACCAGCTTAAGCCACATAGTGAGACCCTGTCTCTATTAAAAAAAAAAAAAAAAGAACATTTATGATTCCTGGGAGGAGGACAACGTATATCAACATTAACAGAAGTTTGGAAGAAGCTGATTCCAACCTTCATGGATGGACCTTCAAGATATCAGTGGAGGAAGTAACTGCATATGTGATGGAAACAGCAAGTGAATTAGAATTAGAAGTGGAAGGCCAGGCGCGGTGGCTCACGCCTGTAATCCCAGCACTTTGGGAGGCCGAGGCGGATGGATCACGACGTCAGGAGATCGAGACCATCCTGGTTAACACGGTGAAACCCCGTCTTTACTACAAATATAAAAAATTAGCTGGGCGTGGTGGTGGGCGCCTGTAGTCCCAGCTACTCTGGAGGCTGAGGCAGGAAAATGGCATGAACCCAGGAGGTGGAGCTTGCAGTGAGCCGAGATCGCAGCCACTGCACTCCAGCCTGGGCGAAAGAGCCAGACTCCATCTCAAAAAAAAAAAAAAAAAAAAAGAAAAAAATTAGAAGTGGAGCCTGGCCAGGTGCAGTGGCTCACACCTGTAATCCCAGCACTTTGGGGGGCCAAGGCAAGAGCATCACTTGAGGCCAAGAGTTCAAGACCAGCCTGGGCCAGGTAGCAAGACTCAATTAATTACTAAAGATTGTGAAATGCAAACCTGCATCTCTTAGTTTTTAAAAACAGGAAACTTAATTCTTGACATTGAGGGATATGGGACTTCTTACTGAGATTAAGTGGGATAACCATAATTGTTATTTGTTTAGCTATTCTTCTTCAAGCACTGTACACACCTATGTAAAGGAAATACCAACACCATGCCTGACAAACAGATAATAAAATAAAGATGCAAAAGTAACTTGTCTAACATCCCTCTGCTAAAAGCATTCAAACCCAGGTCCATATAAAGGTTATGTTCTTCCCACTGCTTCCTTAAAAGATTTACTGGAGGACTACCCTAAGCAAAGCACTTGCCCTAAGCCGGCTAAATTAATTATTCAACTCTCTCAACAGTACTTTAGTATTGGTATTGTCCCTGTTGTACAAATAAAGAAGTTGAGGCTTGGCGGGGCGCAGCAGCTCACGCTTGTAATCCCAGCACTTTCGGAGGCCGAGGCGGACGGATCACGAGGTCACAGACGGAGACCATCCTGGCCAACATGGTGAAACCCCATCTCTACTAAAAATACAAAAAAAAAATACAAACAAAATACAGCTCGGCATGGTTGCGCGCGCCTGTAGTCCCAGCTACTCCAGAGGCTGAGGCAGGAGAATCGCTTGAACCCGGGAAACGGAGGTTGCAGTGAACCGAGATTGTGCCATGGCACTCCAACCTGGTGACAGAGCGAGACAGTGTCTCAAAAAAAAAAAAAAAAAGTTGAGGTTCAAAGAGGTGAGGTAACTTGTCCAAGGTCATACAGCCCTAGAATGAGAGAAAACGGTTGTGTCTCAAAGCGGCATTATTTGTCCGTGGGACAGGTATGTTTGAATTTCCATCCATCCATCTATCTGGCACTGGGGTCTCTCTATGCTGCTCAGACTGTTCTCGAACTCCTGGGCTCAGACCATCCTCTGGGGATCTACCGGCGGGCAGGCACTACCTGCGTGCAGGGACTACCGGCGCGCGCTACCGTAGTGCACAGCTCCGCACCTCTTTAAAAAATGGAGATTGCAATGCTTGCGCCAACTAGTAAGCTTTCACAGTTGGGAGCGAATATTCCACGTGAGAGATTATAAATGACGTTGCACTAAGGGAGGTATGGATCCTTAAAGCAAGCCAGCCACAAAAGGGTGCCGAAACGCAACGGTGCGACTGCGCCAGCGCGCCTGCGTGCAAAGGCTAGCCGAAGCAGAGAGCTGTGCGCATGCGTGCAGCTACTCGCATATGGGCGTGGCTAAGAGCGCCGGCTAAGTGTTCCAGCCTCTGGGGTGTACCAGCCGTGGCTGGCGCAGCACCCCGCCCGGGCAGCAATTTTTTTTTCCATACACCAGTATTCAGGATATCGGAATCCGGTGCACAGCAGCTTCTTCAGGTTTGAGGTTCCGGATGCCTGGGGACGGAGAAACGAGAGGGGAAAAACAGATGGAAAGGTGGGTGACCGGCATCCAGAAATCCAACGGGGAAACCTCCTACCTTTCTACTCTTGGTACCGCGAGAATGGGCGGGGTCTGGCTTCGGGGCGGAAGCCACGGGCGGTCCTGGTTCCGGGGCGGGGCTGGAGGCGGGGAGACCGGGCTGGAAAGCGCAAGCAAAGCCGGCTGTTACTCTGCACTGCGTTCACGCTCAACTTTGCTTTCAGGTGAGGCGTCCATGGAGCGACTTCTGGCCCAGCTGTGCGGCAGCAGCGCAGCGTGGCCGCTCCCGCTGTGGGAGGGGGACACCACAGGCCACTGCTTCACCCAGCTGGTGCTCAGCGCCCTGCCCCACGCACTCCTCGCCGTGCTCAGTGCCTGCTACTTGGGCACCCCGAGGTGGGTAGAGACAAGCGCAAGGCATCTGTCCGTGTGTGCCTGCAGATCTCACCCGCAACCTACATCTTCCGGCAGTGTCACCAGAATAGCTAGGTCTCTGGAGTAGGGCAGAAGTAGAATAAAATCTAAGCATTACTACTTAGCAGCAATGTGGCTGTTCTTGGGCAAGTACCTGCCTTCTCTGAGGCTCATTCTTGGGAGGTTTAAATGAGATAATTAATTTAAGCATATAGTGCAGTGCCTGGCATGTTTTTAAAGGTCTAATGAGTGTCAGAAATCATCAGAACTGTCCATTTTCAGTTACCCAGACTCAGCTGTCATGAATTAAAGGCAGAATTGGGGGAACAACGTTTTTAGCCAAAAGCGCTAACGTGTTGTAGGCTCAGTTTCTCACCATTTCAACCCATGAAACGTTAGTGTTTCCAGATTAAGAAAAGTATACGCAGGCTCAGCTGAAGGGGAAGCAGTAGATAGACAAGAAGAGCAAAATCAAACATTAAACCTTCCCCCAATTAAGGGCTATAAGGTGTGGATGCTAAACTTACCTTGATTTTGTATTTAGTTCTTTTATGGCTAGAGGTGACTAAAGTTAGTCTCATTCTAGCTGCTGAGAAGACAGGAGGGCGGTCTGGTCTCTGGCTTTAGCAGTTTCTAGTCTGATGGGGGAAAGTGTCCCTATCCAAGAGGTCTTGCTTGCTTTCTCATTAGATTGAGTTCCCAAAAGACTGTGCCAATTTTTAATAGCTGCTCCTCTCAGAAGGCTGTGGATGTCTTTGCTAGGTGATTAAACCCTTCTAGACTTTTGTCTCTGTGTAAGAAACAAATCAGAGGGCCGGGCGCGGTGGCTCAAGCCTGTAATCCCAGCACTTTGGGAGGCCGAGATGGGCGGATCACGAGGTCAGGAGATCGAGACCATCCTGGCTAACACGGTGAAACCCCGTCTCTACTAAAAATACAAAAAACTAGCCGGGCACGGTGGCGGGCGCCTGTAGTCCCAGCTACTCGGGAGGCTGAGGCAGGAGAATGGCATGAACCCGGGAGGCGGAGCTTGCAGTGAGCTGAGATCTGGCCACTGCACTCCAGCCTGGGTGACAGAGCGAGACTCCATCTCAAAAAAAAAAAAAAAAAGAAACAAATCAGAATTCCTCCTAGACCGAGCAGATCCACAGCTTCTATCCAAGGGATTCATCCGCTCCCTGCGAAAGCAAGGAAGACCATCACGTGATCAATAGAAATTGTGCCTCATTTCACTTATCAGCCTTGTGTGTGTTGCTGAGAAGGGTTAGAGAGATCGAGAACCTAAGATAGGAAAGGGCCTCAGAAGGCTTTTAATTTGAGACTCTCTGCTCACTGTGCTGGTGAGGAAAGTGAGATTAAGAGAGGAAAAGAGACTTGGGGTGATGAGGCTGGTTGATGGCCAACTTGGGGCCAGTTTTCTTGGGTCCCCACATCTTAGGAAATATAACTCTTTTTTTTTTTCTTTTCCTTTTTTCTTTTCTTTGTGTGCGTGTGTGTTTTCTTTTTTTTTTTTTTTTTTTTTTGACAGGGTCTCCCTCTGTTGCCCAGGCTGAAGTACAGTAGTGCAATCACAGTTCACTGCAGCCTCGACCTCTTGGGCTCCAGCAGCCTCCCACCTCAGCCTTCTGACTTGCTGGGGCTGGGGCCACAAGTGCATGCCACCACGCCTGGCTAATTTTTTAAAATTATTTTTAATAGGCCAGATGCAGTGGCTCAAGCCTGTGATGCCAGCACTGTGGGAGGCCAGAAGTTCGAGACCAGCCTGCCGACGTGGCAGAATGCCATCTCTACTAAAAATACAAAAAAATTGACCTGGCACAGTGGCTCATGCCTGTAATCCCAGCACTTTGGGAGGCTGAGACAGGCGGATCACTGGAAGTCAGGTTGAAACCAGCCTGGCCAACATGGTGAAACCCTCTCTTGAATCACTTGAACCCACGAGGTGGAGGTTGCAGTGAGCCAAGATCGCACCACTGCACTCCAGCCTGGATGACAAAGCGAGACTCTGTCTCAAAAAAAAAATATATATATATATATATATATATATATATTATTTTTGGTAGAAAGAAGGCCTTGCTTTGTCGTCCAGGCTGGTCTTGAACTCTTGGGCTCAAGCAATCCTTCTTCCTCAACCTCCTAAAGTTCTCAGTTTACAGATGTGAGCCACCATGCCCAGCCAGAAACAATTTTTTTTTTTTTTTTTGAGACAGGGTCTTACTCTGTCACCCAGGCTGGAGAGCAGTGGCGCTCTGCAACCTCCACCTCTTGGGTTCAAGCGATTCTCCTGCCTCAGCCTCTGGAGTAGCTGAGACTACAGGTGTGTGCCACCATGCCTGACCAATTTCCATATTTTTACTAGAGATGGAGTTTCACTGTGTTACCCTGGCTGGTCTTGAACTCCTGGCCTCAAGCGATCCACCTGCCTTGGCCTCCCAAAGTGCTGGGATTACAGGCATGAGCCACCATGCCCAGCCCAGAAATAGAATTCTTAAAGGCTGATTTTTATTCCCATCTAAATCCTTACAAATCAGTGTCATCAGGTGGACTTTTAAGAAAACACCCAGCTACTAGGGAGGCTGAGGCAGGGGAATCGCTTGAACCTGGGAGGCGGAGGTTGCAGCGAGCTGAGATCCCGCCACTGCACTCCAGCCTGGCAACAGAGCAAGACTCTGCATTTTAGTTTACAAGCAAACTTTTAGTAACCTAGCCCTGCCAACAAAGGGTGTAACAGACTCAGTCCTCTTTTTATATGAACTTTCAAGACATGCTGACACTCACTGCTGCAGGTATGTTTTGCTGTATTTAGTTTTTTTTGTTTTTTTTTTTTGGATGGAGTCTCTCTCCGTCGCTCAGGCTGGAGTGCAGCGGCATGATCTCAGCTCACTGCAACCTCCGCCTCCCAGGTTCAAGTGATTCTCGTGCCTCAGTGTCCCAAAGTAGCTGGAATTACAGGTGCGTGCCACCATACCCAGCTAATTTTTATATTTTTAGTAGAGACGGGGTTTTACCATGTTGGCCAGGCTGGTCTCAAACTCTTGACCTCAAGTGATCTGACCACCTCAGCCTCCCAAAGTGCTGGGATTACAGGCATGAGCCACTGTGACCAGCCCCTGTATTTGATTCTTAATGCAACAGATCACCTTTTGTTTATTAAAAACATTTCTTTGGCCGGGCGTGGTGGCTCAAGCCTGTAATCCCAGCATTTTGTGAGGCCGAGACGGGCGGAACATGAGGTCAGGAGATCGAGACCATCCTGGCTAACACGGTGAAACCCCGTCTCTACTAAAAAAATACAAAAAAAACTAGCCGGGCGAGGTGGCAGGCACCTATAGTCCCAGCTACTCGGGAGGCTGAGGCAGGAGAATGGCGTGAACCCGGGAGGCGGAGCTTGCAGTGAGCCGAGATCCCGCCACTGCACTCCAGCCTGGGCGACAGAGCAAGACTCCGTCTCAAAAAAAAAAAAAAACAAAAAAACATTTCTTTGTATGCCAAGAAGATGTAAACACAAGCAGAAAGAGATTTTTTTCTTCAGCTAAAGGAGTCACAAAAGCAATCCACACCACCTGCTACAATCAGTGGAAAGACAGTAGAATATTCCAAGGCTTTATAAAGTTTAGGCTACCATATTAGAATATAAAAGCTGTATGTAAGTCCAATTTTTATTCATCTAATAGTGCTTCAGGTGAATTTAAGGGTACTCTCAGGTGGATCCTTTTGTAAAAATGAATATGTACCCTTTAGCGGTTATCTGCATGAAAACTTTGAATTTTTTTTTTTTTTTTTTTTTTTCCTGAAATGGAGTCTCCTTCTCTCGCCCAGGCTGGCGTGCAATGGCGTGATCTCAGCTCACTGCAACCTCCGTCTCCCGGATTCAAGCAATTCTCCTGCCTCAGCCTCCTGAGTAGCTGGGATTGCAGGTGCCTGCCACCATGCCTGGCTAATTTTTGCGTTTTTGGTAGAGATGGGGTTTCACCATGTTGGCCAGGCTGGTCTTGAATTCCTGACCTCAGGTGATCGTCCCGTCTCAGCCTCCTGAGGTGCTAGGATTACAGGCGTGAGCCACAGCACCTGGCCTGGATTTTTTTTTAATTTTAGAATCATGAGGGATATGTGCTTGTTTGTAATTATACATGGATATATTGTGTGATGCTGAAGTTTGGGCTTCTAATGATCCCATCACCCAAGTAGCAAACATAGTACCCAGGATTTTTTTTTTCCTAGTCTTCATGTTAAGTACAACCTTACCTCAAAATTGTTAATGTCTGTGGTTAAAAAAAAAAAAAAGAGTCAGAAATGGTGTAGGTAGTTAGGCTCAGGTGGCTTGTTAGCTCATTTCGTCAGAAAATGTGTTAGGTTCATCTGGGAAGACTTCCTGGGAGAAAAGACCCTGGGTTCCGAGGTAAAGTGGGGTGGGGATAAGATGTGCAAGGCAGGAAGGGAGTTGATTTCTTAGGTAAGTGAATTTTTGGAGGTGAGGGGTATGTCTGGGTCCTGAGTCAGCCACAGTGTGCCTCCTTGTCTTCCCTCTTGTCCCCAGGAGTCCAGATTACATCCTACCCTGCAGTCCTGGATGGCGCCTCCGACTTGCAGCTTCCTTCCTGCTTTCCATTTTCCCGCTGCTAGACCTCCTTCCAGTTGCTTTGCCACCAGGGGCAGGCCCAGGACCCATAGGCCTAGAGGTGCTGGCAGGGTGTGTGGCAGCTGTGGCCTGGATCAGCCACAGCCTGGCCCTGTGGGTGTTGTCCCATTCCCCTCATGGCCACTCCCGGGGTCCCTTGGCCTTGGCCCTGGTAGCCTTGCTGCCAGCTCCAGCCCTAGTGCTGACTGTATTGTGGCATTGCCAGCGAGGCACACTTCTGCCCCCACTTCTCCCAGGGCCCGTGGCCCGCCTATGCCTGCTCATCCTGCAGCTGGCTGCACTCTTGGCCTATGCACTGGGGTGGGCAGCTCCTGGGGGACCACGAGAACCCTGGGCTCAGGAACCCCTCCTGCCTGAGGATCAAGAACCTGAGGTGGCTGAAGATGGGGAGAGTTGGCTGTCACACTTTTCCTATGCCTGGCTGGCACCCTTACTGGCCCGTGGGGCCTGTGGAGAGCTCCAGCAGCCTCAGGACATTTGCCGCCTCCCCCACAGACTGCATCCAACCTACCTGGCTCGTGTCTTCCAGTCACACTGGCAGGAGGGGGCCCGACTGTGGAGGGCCTTATACGAGGCCTTTGGACGGTGCTATCTGGCACTTGGACTGCTGAAGCTGGTAGGGACCATGCTGGGATTCTCAGGGCCCCTGCTGCTCTCCCTACTGGTGGGCTTCCTGGAAGAGGGGCAGGAGCCACTAAGCCACGGCCTGCTCTACGCTCTGGGGCTAGCCAGTGGGGCTGTGCTGGGTGCCGTGCTGCAGAATCAGTATGGGTATGAGGTATGTAAGGTAAAACTTCAGGCACGGGGGGCCGTGCTGAACATCCTGTACCGCAAGGCTTTACAGCTGGGGCCCAGCCGCCCTCCTACTGGGGAGGCCCTGAACCTATTAGGCACTGACTCTGAACGGCTGCTTAACTTTGCTGGGAGCTTCCATGAAGCCTGGGGCCTGCCCCTACAGCTGGCCATCACCCTCTACCTGCTGTACCAGCAGGTAGGCGTGGCCTTTGTGGGTGGTCTGATCTTGGCACTGCTGCTGGTACCTGTCAACAAAGTGATTGCCACCCGCATCATGGCCAGCAACCAGGAAATGCTACGGCACAAGGATGCGCGGGTTAAGGTGAGGGGGTACTTGGGGTCCCTCAGCTATCTGGAGACCCCACCCAGCCCAGGGCCACAGGTCTTCCTATGCACACTACCTGAGGGAGTGAGAGTGACCTCAAAGTTAAGAGCTGAGACTGGAGAAAGATAGACCTGGGTTCAAATCCTGGCTCTACACTTACTAGTTCAATCACTTCAGACAAGTCACTTAACCTATTTGGGCTTCCCCCCTCCTCGTCTGTAAAATGAGAATAATAGTAGCTCACCTTGTAGAGCTGTTGTAAGGATCTCATGAGATAATGCTTAGCATAGTGCCAGTCACAAAGTAAGCTCTGAATACATGTGGCCACCCTGGGAGGTAGGAAGTCATCTCCCTGGCACCAAACAGGTCTGTAGGGCCAGAGCTGGGACCCAAGTCTCCAACCTCCTTATCTAGGGCACAGACCACCCATGGCTGCATGTAGAGAGACCTAGGAGATCCGCAGCTGCCTCTTTGGATAGGCTGAGGGGAAGGGAATAGGTCACTTTCCTGCCTGGGCCAACTCTAGGTGTTTAGGGTTTGGCTGAATCAGCTCTGGGTTCTGCAGTGATTGTGGGTACAAAGGGGATGGCAGTCCTGGGGGTTCATACAGCATAGTTGTCGACCCTTAGTGGAACAGTTCAGAGTGCTCCTGGAGGGAAGGGAGGTTGATAGATGATTATGGCATGAGGCCTTTTCTCCTACCTGTGACAGCTACAGACAAGGAGTTTTGGCCCTTGCCCATCTTCCCTGGGCCCATTAGCCTGTTTGACCCTGGGCTGTGGTGTGGCCTCTTATGCCTGTGTACTCCTACAGGATAGTTTCTGTGCCACTCAAGCTGGGGGCCAGAACTGGGGGGCCAGCCCCTGAAGCCCACATCTTTTGGTTTTGGGAGATAGCCTTTTGTCCCTCATCTAATGGGAGGAGTGCTTTAACTCCACTGTGGTGACTTGGCTGCACCTTCCACCACTTCTTCTCCTAGGAAGGTGGGGAATTCCCACTCCAACCTGTCCCCAGCTGGAGCCAGTGGAGAAGTAAAAGAGAGACTGGGAGGGGAAGCAACCCAGGGCTGAAAAGGATTTGAAGGGCAGGATTTCCAGAAAGGATTGAGGTGAGGAAGAAAACCAAGACTAGGGCAGTGCAGAGTGTCTAGGAGCTTAGAATACTGAACATTCTGCCAGGAGCCTGGGGAAGGCTTGGCGGACAAGACACATGAGCAGTGCCTCCACTTCACGCCTCTCCCTTGTCTCCTTTCCCTAGCTTGTGACAGAGCTGCTGAGTGGCATTCGGGTCATCAAGCTCTGCGGGTGGGAGCAGGCACTGGGGACCCGAGTAGAGGCCTGCCGGGCTCGAGAGCTGGGGCGACTCCGGGTCATCAAATACCTGGATGCGGCCTGTGTATACCTGTGGGCTGCCCTACCGGTTGTCATCTCCATCGTCATCTTCATCACCTATGTCCTCATGGGGCACCAGCTCACTGCCACCAAGGTGAGGACCAGGAAGGAAGGGGACCAGCATCAAGGAGACTTCGGCGAAGTGGAGACGTAGGCTCAGGCCCTCGGTGCTGGCTGAGAAGGAGGGAGGGATCCCTGACTGCCTCTTGACCAAGAGAAAACTGAAGGAACCTTTTTGTGGGGGCCTTGGATATATAACCTTCCCCTCTGTAAAGGATTCCTTTCCTTCTTCTCTTCTACCTTTCACTCCAACTTCTAGTCAGTTCTAGGCTTGGGGTTAGGTCTCTTTATATTCGTTCTAATGGCCTTAGGAAAAAAATCTTTGATCCAGTCCTGTGTCTAGCCAAGGCCAGGTGATTTTGCTACTTGGAAATTCTAAAAAAGTCTCAAAATGAGCTAGGCCTGCCTAGTTAAAAAGATGCAACCTTGGCCGGGCATGGTGGCTCACACTTGTAATTCCAGCACTTTGGGAGGCCAAGGCAGTCAGATCACCTGAGGCCAGGAGTTCGAGACCAGCCTGACCAACATGGTGAAAGCTTGTCTCTACTAAAAATATAAAAATCAACCAGGTGTGGTGATGCATGCCTGTGATGCCAGCTACTCAGGAGGCTGGGGCAGGTGAATCACTTGAACCCTGGAGGTGGAGGTTGCAGCGAGCCAAGATTATGCCACTACATTTCAGCTTAGGTGACAGAGCAAGACCCATCAAGGAAAAAAAAAACAATGCAACCTGTATCCCTTGAACATGGAATTTCTAGGATTCTTTAAGTGACCACCTCTGCCACATCTGATCCCAGGATTGGCCAGCCAGCCCTTCAGTTCTATCGTTGCCCAGTTCTTTCCTCCACAGACCCTGTCCACAGGGCTTCCCTTAGAAACAGGCCCTTAGATAACTCCTGGGGCTTCACCCTCCTCCCACCTCCCTCAGGTGTTCACGGCCCTGGCACTGGTGCGAATGCTCATTCTTCCTCTCAACAACTTCCCTTGGGTGATCAATGGCCTCCTGGAGGCCAAAGTATCCTTGGACCGGATCCAGCTTTTCCTCGACCTTCCAAACCACAACCCCCAGGCCTACTACAGCCCAGGTAATGGGAAGCTAGTGGGCAGAACCTGGCACAGGGTGAGAAGGGGAGTGGAGCCACTTGGGTGCCACACATAGATGTCACCAAGAGGGGTTAGAGAGAGCGGAATCCAAAACTCAGACTCAGCTCTGGGCAGGTAGATATGGGGCTGGCAAGTCAATTACATGATTTACCCTCCCCAAGCAGATTGTGGTAGTTTAGGAGCCTAAATCAAGTGGCTTCTGTGTTCAGATCCCCCCACAGAACCATCTACAGTTTTGGAGCTGCATGGAGCCTTGTTCTCCTGGGACCCAGTTGGAGCCAGCCAGGAGACCTTCATCGGTCATCTCGAAGTGAAAAAGGTTTGTTGAACAGACACCCTGGGAGAGTCCTCAGACTCACGAGAGAGGAACTCATGTCAGAGAAGCAATGACCAAGCCAATCATAGCTGATGGCTCTGCAGCTCTAATTACTGCAGGAGGGAGAGGCATTTGGTAAGCAGGTTCTCATCCATGAGGAGATGACACCTCACATCTGAATCTCAGAATAGTTGCACCTCTCTCTGGTCTTTAGGCAGCTTGTATCCATCCAGTTCAGACCAATAGGTGTGTTTGTCTCTCCATGTCTCTCAGAAGCTGCAGCATTCAGAACAGGCCCTGGGGCTTAACTAACATCTCCCCCAGATTGGGGATCTGGGGGAGAGGCCCAGCAAGCGCTTCCAAGAAATATTTTGCAAATGGGGATTCTCTGTTTAGGCTGGTGAAAAGCAGTCACACCCTGTGGCTCATGCTACAGCGTACAAAGAAGTTAAAATGGGGCATTCCTGGCAATAAGCCAACTCCTGTTCACCTCCTGTCCTGGTTTTTCACTCTCTCCTGACCTTTGTCCAACCCTGTGCCCCACAGCTCAACCCAGCATTCTCTGGTGGTGGCTGAATTGCCTTCACCACATTTGGCTCACGTTTCTGGCTTGGGCTGTGTGTTTTGTTTTTCCTCTTAGTTCAGGCAAGACAAGGCTGGATTTGTACAAAGGAATTTTGCTAACGTGTTAGTTGGGGCTTTTTTGGATATAAGTTACAGAAATGCACTGCAACTAGCTTAAGCAAACAAGAATTATAATAAGGATATAGAGATACGTTGCAGAATCCAAAGGCAGGAACGCAGCTGGATCTTAGAAACAGCCCAGAACCAGGCCTCAACTCGCAGAGCTCTCTGCTTCTGTGTGCCTCTCTCCCTGTATTTGCCTGGTCCTCTTCTCTCTGTGGACACACCCTCCATTGAGCAGAAGATTTGACTACAGAGAATGCTCAAGTTTACAGATGACAGCCAACAGGGAGAAGTTGTCTCTGGATCCTGGTCCCAGATTCCCAGGGAAAGGCCTCAGAAGTGGTCACTTGTAGATGGGTCAATCCTGGCGGGCAGATTTGGGGCATCACAGGCAGATAGAGCTTCTGAGAGCCCAGTCCCTTCTAGAGAAGGAACTAGGACTTTTTTTTTTTTTTTTTTTTTTTTTTTCAGGGAGAGAGCACTGTATTTTTTTTAAAAAAAAAAAAAAAAAAAAGGGGGGGGGAAACAGAAAATTTTAAACTATAAGCCCACAGAAATAGGGATCTATGCAAAGCACTGCTTTTTCCCCCTGAGATAGGGGAAGTCTAGCCATAGGTTGACTTAGCCAACCCACCATCCAGGACCTAAAGCCTGGAGTTCTACCCTTCCCTCTCCCATTCTGGGATGCCTGTCTTAGAGCTTACATTGGAAGTTCTTGGGTGGTTTCCTCCCATTCTCTCTGGCATGCTGTTCCCCTTCAGAGGCCCTTCACATAGACAGTGAAACTGATAGCCACTCTGAGTGGAGAAAAAAGCACCCTACTTCTCTAGAGCCAACAGGTCAGCCTGTGAAGTGGAGAATTCTTTCCCTACACACAAAAGAAAGAAGAAAAGAGAAGCCTCAGTGGGAGGATTGGCAGCCCAGAGTGTCAGGAGGGAGACCACTGCCCCCTCTGTCCCATCCCCTACCAATAGCAGACACTTGTGTGGCTTCCTTGCAGGGTATGCTGGTGGGCATCGTGGGGAAGGTGGGCTGTGGGAAGAGCTCCCTGCTGGCTGCCATCGCTGGAGAGCTCCACAGGTAACCAACCTCTTATGCACCCCTGTCCTCACTTTGTCCTTTAGCAAACACTGAGCCCCTGCTATATATTGGACCCCTTTTGGGGGTCAGGGGTACTAAGAAGAGCAACGCATGGTCCCTTTATTGGGAGAGTTTTCGATCTGGAAAGAAGGAGGTGGCCAAGAAAGCGAATCATTGTAATCATTACACCAGAGTGTTTTAAATATTATAATAGTGAGCAAAGGAATGGAAACATCCCGTGTCAGCTATTCTTTCAGAAATGTGACTGTGCAGGGGAGGGATCCAGAGAGGAGCATAGGTTTGAGGGAGGACCTTGCTTTCAGATGAGAACAAGTACAATGTGGTGGCCATACTCTCTACTGAGCTCCTGAGCACATGTAAATACAACAGCTGCTTGGCTGTAGCCAAAGAGCAATTTCTTCCCTTCTCCATCCAGAATGGGCTTCGTTAGGACCCTGTGACCTCAGGAGCTGCCAGCTCAGTCATGTGATATGAAGAGGGACCCTGTGTGGAAGACAGCAGCCTGGGGAGGTTTCTAGGAGGCAAGGGCCGGGCATGGAGGGACCTAGCGGAGAGCTGGTCCCCATATTGCTGGCCTGGCTCTCTGCAGGCTGCGTGGGCGCGTGGCGGTGTGGGGGCTGTCCAAGGGCTTTGGCCTGGCCACCCAGGAACCCTGGATCCAGTTTGCCACCATCCGAGACAACATCCTCTTTGGGAAGACATTTGATGCACAGCTGTACAAGGAGGTGCTAGAAGCCTGCGCCCTCAATGATGATCTCAGTGTGAGTGCCTGGCCTTGAAACCTCTTAGCTGCCTGCTTTTCCAGTGTCGCTGACACCTCAAACCAGAGCTTTGCTTTTCCGGAAAAGGGGTTGCTTCTACTCGGGCATCACTCATCTAGGAATGGCCGTCGGACTGTGGTCCTCCCAGAGTGTCCAGCTGCCCCTTCCCATAGGGCCCAGTAGGGTGGTGACTGTGTGTTCTCCACAGCAGTGGGAAGAGCTCTAAGGCCTCTGGAGGTAGGGAGGGTTCCACTTGTCAGGCTTAGCTCTGCACAGCCGGGCTCCTTGTCCCCTTCTCCATACCCACTTCCCACCGTGAAGGCTTGGAAGAGTCAAGGCCTCATTTGGTTGCAGGTTACCCTAGGGAAACCTGCCAAGCCTATTAGATTTCCCCTTGCCCCCAATCCAGAGTACTGCATGTATAGGAGAAGAGATTCCAGATTTCTCCCCTGACTTCCCACCCAATCCCGCTGTCCCTTCAAGAATATCACCACCACTACCCTACCCAGGTAAATGTAGAATGTCCCTGAAAAGGAGCACCTTTAACCTTGACCATGGGGCATCCTGTATCCAGCTGTCATTCTTTTTATTCCTATTTATTTATTTATTTTTTGAGATAGGGTCTTTTTTCTGTCCCCTAGGCTGGAATGCAATGGCGCCATCTTGGCTCACTGCAGCCTCTGCCTCCTGGTCTCAAACGATCCTCCCACCTCAGCCCCTCAAGTGGTTGGGACTACAGGAGTGAGCCACCACACCCAGCTAATTTTTGTTTTGCTTTGTTTTGTTTTGTTTTGCTTTTTTGAGATGGAGTCTCACTCTGTCACCAGGCTGGAGTGCAGTGGCACAATCTCGGCTCACTGTAACCTCCGCCTCCTGGATTCAAGCAGTTCTGCCTCAGCCTCTCGAGTAGCTAGGACTACAGCTGCATGCCACCACACCCAGCTAATTTTTGTATTTCTAGTAGAGATGGGGTTTCACCATGTTGGCCAGGATGGTCTCAATCTCCTGACCTTGTGATCTGCCCACCTCGGCCTCCCAAAGTGCTGGGATTACAGGCGTGAGCCACCATGCCTGGCTTCCTACCCTGTCTGTTTAACAGGCAAGGTAGTAGGATATCTTGGGCAGATTTGATGTAAAAGCTTTCATAAGTTTTTACTTTTGTGTGTGTGTGAGACAGAGTCTTGCTCTGTCGCACAGAGTGGAGTGCAGTGGAGTGATCTCGGCTCACTGCAACCTCTACCTCTCGGGTTCAAGCGATTCTTCTGCCTCAGCCTCCCGAGTAGCTGGGACTACAGGTGTGAGCCACCATGCCCGCCTAATTTTTGTATTTTTAGTAGAGACGGGGACTCACCATGTTGCCCAGGCTGGTCTCAAACTCTTGGGCTCAAGTAATCCGCCCGCCTTGGCCTCCCAAAGTGCTGGGATTACAGGCCTGAGCCACCATGCCCAGCCCAGCTTTCGTAGGTTTTTAGAGAAGGAATGTACTACCTCTAAGCCTTCTCGTGGCCTCAGGAATGGTCTACTAAGCAAAGGGATTCCCTTCCTCATGCAGAGGAAGCACCTGTGATCCACTACATGGTGAGTCCCTGAGCTAAAAGCTTTGTTGTTCATCTCTTTCCTTACTGCCTACAACAGTACCTAGGACCTAGCAGACTTGGGAAAGCTTGATGTAGCAATGAATGATCAGCCAGGCGTGGTGGCTCGTGCCCGTAATCCTAGCATTTTGGGAGGCCAAGGTGGGTGGATCGCTTGAGGTCAGGAGTTCAATACCACCCAGGGCAGCCAGGCTTACAGTGGTGGCTCACGCCTCTAATCCCAGCACTTTGGGAGGCTGACGTGGGCAGATCACGAGGTCAGGAGTTCGAGACCAGCCTAGCCAACATGATGAAACCCCGTCTCTACTAAAAATACAAAAAATAGCTGGGCGTGGTGGTGGGCACCTGTAAACCCAGCTACTTAGGAGGCTGAGGCAGGAGAATCAGCTTGAACCCAGGAGGCGGAGATTGCAGCGGGTGTGGCAGCTCACACCTGTAGTCCTAGCTACTCTGGAGGCTGAGGCAGGAGAATCGCTTGAACCCAAGAGGTAGAGGTTGCAGTGAGCTGAGATCATGCCACTGCACTTCAGCCTGGGCGACAGAGTAAGACTGTCTCACAAAAAAAAATAAAAACATAAAAGCTTTTACATAAAATCTGCCCAAGATATCTTACTACCTTGCCTGTTAAAAAGACAGGATAGTAGGTCAAGTGCAGTGGCTCATGCCTGTAATCGCAGCACTTTGGGAGGCCAAGGTGGGCGGATCACGAGGTCAGGAGATCGAGACCATCCTGGCTAACACGGTGAAACCCCATCTCTACTAAAAAATATAAAAAACTAGCCGGATGAGGTGGTGGGCACCTGTAGTCCCAGCTACTCGGGAGGCTGAGGCAGGAGAATAGCGTAAACCCAGGAGGCGGAGCTTGCAGTGAGCTGAGATCGCGCCACTGCACTTCAGCCTGGATGACAGAGTGAGACTACATCTCAAAAAAAAAAAAAAAAAATCTGAACTCGTGGCTGGGCACGGTGGCACACGCTTGTAATCCCAGCACTTTGGGAGGCCGACGTGGGCAGATCACGAGGTCAGGAGTTCAAGACCATCCTGACTAACATGGTGAAACTCCGTCTCTACTACAAATATAAAAAATTAGCCAGGCATGATGGCAGGCGCCTATAGTCCCAGTCACTTGGGAGGCTGAGGCAGGAGAATGGCATGAACCCGGAAAGCAGAGCTTGCAGTGAGCGGAGATTGTGCCATTGCACTCCAGCCTGGGCGACAGAGTGAGACTCCATCTCAAAAAAAGAAGAATCTGAACTCGTGTCCTGCCCCTTACTAGCTGTGAGCCAGCTAGTTAATCTGTCTGAGCTTTGGTTGCACGTGAGAAAAGGAAATGATACTGTGATACCATCTTCATAAGATTATCATGGGGCTTGAATGAGAGAATGCCTGTAAAGTGCTAGGCACATAGAGGCACATAGTAAGTGTTCGATAAAGGCTCGATGTTGTTGGAAGTATGTCTTGTCTTCTCTGACTAGCTCACCCCAAATTTAAGTCTACTCTCCTCAAGCTCCCTGCTTCTCTTGACTCCCACTATCTCTTTCCTGCAAAGGGATAGGAAGTGGGCCAGAAGGTAATGGGGAGCTCCTTGACCCACTGGGGAACTTGTTCCATCAGATCCTGCCTGCTGGAGACCAGACAGAGGTGGGGGAGAAGGGTGTGACCCTAAGCGGGGGACAGCGTGCCCGGATTGCCCTTGCTCGTGCTGTCTACCAGGTCAGTTAAAGATGGAGGTTACAGTGGCAGGGAGGTGGGGGGAGCCTTGGGAGCGTGGCTGAGTTAGGAGGATAGGAATATTTTCCTTAGCATCTGGTTCCTTCCCTCCTCTGTTGCATGTTCCTGAGGTATTGGCCATCCCATTTGCAGATTTAAAGCAGAGTTCAAGGCCCTTTAAAAAGTATTTGTAGGCTGGGCATGGTGGCTTAGGTCATAATCCCAGCACTTTGGGAGGCCAAGGCAGGAGGATTGCTTGAGCCCAGGAGTTCAAGACTTGCCTGGGTAATGTGGCAAAACCCTGTCTCTACAAAAAATAATTTTAAAGTTAGTTGGTGTAATCTTAGCACTTGGGGAAGCCAAGGAAGGTGAATCACTTGAGGTCAGGAGTTCGAGACCAGCCTGGCCAACATGGTGAAACCCCATCTCTACTGAAAAACATACAAAAATTAGCTGGGCATAGTGGCGCATGCCTGTAATTCCAGCTACTCGGGAGGCTGAGGCAGGATAATTGCTTGAACCTGGGAGGCAGAGGTTGCAGTGAGCCAAGATCACACCATTGCATTCCAGCCTGGGTGACAAGAATGAAACCCTGTCTACAAAAAATTTTAGTTGGGCTTGATAGCATGCACCTGTAGTCCCAGCTACTCAGGAGGTTGAGGTGGGAAGGATCACTTGAGCCTGGGAAGTTGAGGCTGCAGTGAGTGGTGTTCATGCCACTGCACTACAGCCTGGGCAACAGAGCAAGACTGTGTCTTTTTTTTTTTTTTTTTGAGACGGAGTCTCACTCTGTTGCCCAGGCTGGAGTGCAGTGGCTGGATCTCAGCTCACTGCAAGCTCCGCCTCCCAGGTTTACACCATTCTCCTGCCTCAGCCTCTCGAGTAGCTGGGACTACAGACGCCCGCCACCTCGCCCAGCTAGTTTTTTGTATTTTTTAGTAGAGACGGGGTTTCACCGTGTTAGCCAGGATGGTCTCGATCTCCTGACCTCGTGATCCGCCCGTCTCGGCCTCCCAAAGTGCTGGGATTACAGGCTTGAGCCACCGCACCCGGCGACTGTGTCTTTAAAAAAAAAAAAAAAGCGTTATGTGGCCTGAGGGCCTGGGAGCTAGGAAAGCTGAGTGCTGGCCCTGGGGGTGCTGTTCTTTCTTGCCTGAAGGGATGTCCACCCTCAGGTCTCACCTCTTTCTCTGCTAGTGTAGGGGTAGCCCCCAGAGTTTATCTCAACTGTCTTCTCTGACCACTTGGAGATCTTCCCAGGAGAGCCTTTGGGTCCTGGTGCCCACAGTACCCTCACGTCTCTCTAGGAAAAGGAGCTCTATCTCCTCGATGACCCTCTGGCCGCTGTGGATGCAGATGTGGCCAACCACCTGCTGCACAGGTGCATCCTGGGTGTGCTAAGCCACAGCACACGGCTGCTCTGCACCCACCGCACCGAGTACCTGGAAAGGGCTGATGTGGTGCTGCTAATGGAGGCCGGGCACCTCATCCAGGCTGGTAATGGGGGCAGGAACCGCGCATGAGGGAGGTGTCTGCCCAGGTATGGCAGGGGATTGGGAAGTATAGACTCTGCCACCTGCTGCATGTGTGGCCTGAGCCAGTCATTGCTGCTTCCTGCCTTCACAGAACTGGTGTGGGGAACTGGGAGAACAGGAGGGAAAAGGAGCACGTTGGTGAAATGCCAGTGTATTTGGGACTCATGGGCTTTGTGACTGGATGCTCTTGGGAACTTAGAGGCCCAGGGTCTCTGAGAACAGTCTCATATCTTCAGAGAAGATAAAGAGTCAGGTTTAGAATGGTCTTTTTGTAAAAACAAAAATTTTAAAACTCTGAAAGATTTTTATGCAGAGGGACATGACCACCTGCAAGTTCACTGGGAGAGAAATAGGAGGAAATGAAGCTCCAACCAGATATTAGGAATTGAGTGAAGCATAAGAAAAAGCTCTGCAGTAATGAGAAGTAACCCTGGACAGAGTGGCAGGCGTAGTTCTGGCTGTCCTCTCAGGGATGGACATTCGTCCCTCTCTGCTGGTCAGAATCGAGGTTTACAAGGATGGACTTGAGTCCTGCTCGAGGTCTAGGGGTATCCAGAGCAGGATGGGTTAGAGAAGGAGGCCTAAGAGTCCTGCTCGAGGTCTAGGGGTATCCTGCTAGGGTGGCTTAGAGAGGGAGACCTAAGAGGATGGGAGGTAGGATCTGTACACGCACTGAGAAAGGCATAGTATAGACTCAGAACAGCCCCCTCCTAATCTCCCCTTCTACCCTCCAGGACCTCCCTCTGAGATTCTGCCACTGGTACAACCTGTCCCCAAAGCCTGGGCTGAGAATGGACAAAAGTCTGACTCAGGTATGGCTCCCCAGTGGGAGAAAAGAGCTTGCTTTTCACTGCCTGCCACACTGTAGAGCTTTTTCTACAAAGGCTAGCCGCTCCTCTGAAATACTGAGTTTTCAACTGGCAGCCTGCAAGCTTAATTCCTCCATGACCCCTGATTCTCACAGCCACAGCCCAGTCAGTACAAAACCCAGAGAAAGCAAAGGAGGGGCTGAAGGAGGAGCAGAGCACATCTGGTGGCCTGCTGCAGGAAGAAAGCAAGAAGGAGGGCGCCGTGGCCTTGCATGTGTACCAAGCTTACTGGAAGGCTGTGGGCCAGGGCTTGGCCTTAGCCATCCTCTTCTCTCTGCTCCTCATGCAAGGTGAGAGTGTGCCTGGGAGTCTCTTACACCATAACGGCTATGCTGTCCAGGTGCCCGTTACCTTGCACTAATCATTATGAGGCCCAGAGACTCACCAAGCATGGGTCACAGCTGGGACAAAAGCCATACTTCTATTTCTGAGAGATGCCCAGGGGCCAGAGGCATGTGCTCTATAGCTGGCTTCCATTCTGCCCCCCAGGTTAGCTCCCATTCTGCAAGTCTGAGATCCTGTTCTCCCCAGAGCTGAAGGGTGACCGGCCTATGAGAGAAGCCCACACTAGGGAGGACTGGGGTAGTGGCAGGGTGGGAAGGCCAGGCCAGGGGGATGGAGATGGGCAGGAACCAGAGGCAAGGGTGGAGAAAGGGGGCATTGGAATAGAATGAACGAGGGAGAGGAGCCTTTTACAGCTTTTTCCTTCCTGTTCCCACCCAGCCACGCGGAACGCTGCTGACTGGTGGCTCTCTCACTGGATCTCTCAGCTGAAGGCTGAGAATAGCTCCCAAGAGGTGCAAGCCTCCACCAGCCCAGCTTCTACGGGGCTCTTCTCTCCGCAACTGCTCCTCTTTTCCCCCGGAAACCTCTAGTGAGTGGCTGGGGCTGGGGGTGGGCCTGGTGCTCTCAGAGTGGTCGCCAGGCAGGGAGTGAGGGTTAGGGCCGGTATTGCAGATGCTGTGGCTTCTGGAGGGTGGGAGAGATGGCATGGGGGAGGAGAAAGGACCCCTGAGTGGCCCTACTTTTGGTTACCCAAAGCCCCCTCCTCACCACCCAGCACCCCAGTGTTCCCACTGCCCAAAGCTGCCCCCAATGGCTCCTCAGACATCCGTTTCTACCTCACCGTATATGCGACCATTGCTGGTGTCAACTCCCTCTGCACCCTTCTCCGGGCAGTGCTCTTTGCAGCAGGCACCCTTGAAGCAGCTGCCACCCTGCATCGACGCCTGCTGCATCGAGTCCTTATGGTGAGGGGCTGGGACCTCAGGGGTAGGGGAGCGCAGTCCTAGCCCTGTGGAATGTCCTCCCAATACTCGGGCTCCACTGGGGATGGGAGAGTCTTTCCTGCCCTGGGATATTCTTCCTCAAGCTCTGCCAATCTCTCCTCTCTGCCCCCAAATTCTGGGGATATTTTAGTCCTTCCCTATTCTCTATCTTGGGCCTTCCCCTCCACCCCACCTCCCCCAGGGCTGCCCACCAACCCCTTTTCTGTCAGACTCTGCCCTGGCCCAATCAGCGTCCTTCTCCCAGGCACCAGTAACTTTCTTCAATGCCACACCCACGGGCCGGATCCTAAACCGCTTCTCCTCTGACGTGGCCTGTGTGGATGACAGCCTGCCGTTCATCCTCAACATCCTCCTGGCCAACATGGCAGGCCTGCTGGGGCTCCTGGCCGTGCTGGGCTCTGGCCTGCCTTGGCTGCTGCTGCTGCTGCCGCCTTTGAGCATCATCTACTATCACGTGCAGCGCCACTACAGGGCCTCCTCACGGGAGCTGCGGCGCTTGGGCAGCCTCACCCTGTCTCCACTCTATACCCATCTGGCTGATACCTTAGCTGGCCTCTCTGTGCTCCGGGCCACAGGGGCCACCTACAGGTGTGTGAACCAGAGCCCAGGGGGATGAGGTGTTGAGGGGAGAGGAAAAGAGAGACCCCTGAGAAGAGGAATATGCAGGGTATGGTTGGTTCAGCCCTCCTGGGGACAAGGGGTGGGGAAGGAGAAAAGCAACAAAAGAAGGACATAGGGAGGCAGAGCAGACACCCACTTTGAAAGAGCACACTGGCATCTGCAGCCCTGCGGGAGGCCTGTGGGTATATAGATTAGCTGCCAAGAAGGAACTGCCCAAGAGGGCCTTCCCTGTGGAGGCCTTGAGGCTGGGTGTCTCAGGGCAGCAGTGGAGTGGCCGGCCTCATATCCATCTGGCCTTCCCTAGGTTTGAGGAGGAGAACCAGCGACTCCTTGAGCTAAACCAGAGGTGCCAGTTTGCCACCAGTGCCACAATGCAGTGGCTGGACATTCGGCTACAGCTCATGGGGGCAGCAGTGGTCAGCGCTATCGCAGGCATTGCCCTGGTGCAGCACCAGCAGGGCCTTGCTAACCCAGGTGCCACCCAGGACCCCTCACCCCTACCTCACCCGCAAGTTGGTCCACCCTTCTCCCAGATCTCTCACTGCACTTTCCCCCCAACATTTTTGCCTCCCACCAAGGGTTCCTTGTGAGGGTGTATCATGATTATCATCATCACCCCCGTTTGGAGTTGAGTGACAATCCCCAGGTGGTGGTGGCTTGGGGACTAGAATGAGTTTTCTGAGCTGCTGGTCTCAGTCCCTTTCCTGCTTTCACCCCGTTCCCACCACACTGCCCCAGCCCGCTTCAGTCTCCCACATGCCATCCCTCCCAGCTTCTCCATGCCCACCTTGTGCCCTGCATCCAGCCTCCTGTCCTCCTGTCACCCTCCTGCTTCTCTGTTGCTTCCTTTTTTTTTTTTTTTTTTTTTTTGAGATGGAGTCTCGCTCTGTTGCCCAGGCTGGAGTGCAGTGGCACGATCTCAGCCCACTGCAACCTCTTCCTCTTCCTCCCAGATTCAATCGATTCTCCTGCCTCAGCCTCCTGAGTAGCTGGGATTATAGGCGCGCACCACCACGCCTGGCTAATTTTTGTATTTTTAGTAGAGACAGGTTTCACCATGTTGGCTAGGCTGGTCTCAAACTCCTTACCTTGTGATCCACCCGCCTCGGCCCCCCAAAGCGCTGGGATTAGACGTGAGCCACCGCGCCCAGCTTCTGTTGCTTCCTTTAAATGCCCACAGTCCACAGCTTGGGGAGTCTCCCATACACATCCCAATGTCCAAGCTCTCCCAGCAGCTGTTATCCTCTCCCCCAGGGCTGGTGGGCCTGTCGCTGTCTTATGCCCTGTCCCTGACGGGCCTGCTCTCGGGCCTGGTGAGCAGCTTCACACAGACGGAGGCCATGCTGGTAAGCGTTGAGCGGCTGGAAGAGTACTCCTGTGACCTGCCCCAGGAACCCCAGGGTCAGCCACTGCAGGTAGGCCTGTACCCTGACCCCAGGCCAAAGCTCTGGAACCCTGAAGGCCCCAGCCTCCCCCGCAATTTCTTTCTTTTTACCCACCCATCTTTCTCAGCTCCCATAACCTCTCTTCATGATGACCAAAATTCTTCACCATGTTCCTTCTTCCCCATCTCTTATTCTCTCACCTTTCCTCTCACACTATTCATTTCTCATTATTCTCCCCTCCTCGCCATTGCTCCTCATCTCCCCCATCTCCCTCTTCCCCTCTATCGCCCACCCATGGACCCCACCAGTTGGGCACCGGCTGGCTGACCCAGGGGGGCGTGGAGTTCCAGGACGTGGTGTTAGCGTACCGGCCAGGGCTGCCGAATGCCCTGGATGGAGTGACCTTCTGCGTGCAGCCTGGAGAGAAGTTGGGCATCGTGGGCCGCACGGGCTCCGGCAAGTCCTCCCTGTTGTTGGTGCTCTTCCGGCTGCTAGAGCCCAGTTCAGGGCGAGTGCTGCTGGATGGCGTGGACATCAGCCAGCTGGAGCTGGCCCAGCTCAGGTCTGGAGGAGATGGACTTGGGAGGGGAAAGGGGGAACCAGAACTACTAGCACTTAGAGGAGGGCACAGCTAGGAAGGCTTTATATAAACTCAGGGCAACTAGGGCTGATCAAGGGGTTGAAACGGAGGACAGGATGAGCGGGCGAGGACAGAGAACTCCTAGTGCCCAGGTCCAGATTCATGGCTGGTGATCTGAAGGTCGTCCTTGCCCTGACCCTTTCCAGCTGCATCTTTCTTGTATTTCCCACCACACATCCTCCACTCTTGTGCCCCAAGATACTGATCCCCTGAGCCCTCAGGCTCAGCAGGCAGTGCTTTGGACAGCTTGAGACCTGAGCCAGTTGCCCTTGGCTTCAGGTGGCCCCACTGGAGGGTATACACCCCTTCTCTACCCTCAGGTCAACCTAATATCATTTTCTGTCAGTACAGTGACATGGAAAAGGTAGGGAAGCTGTATCCTAAAGCCCTAGGCCTGCCTCTTCTGCCCTCTCTTCTAAGCTGTGGTGGCCCTACCTTATAACTCCACCATGTCTTCAGGACCCAATTATAGGCCCACTCCAACCTTGAAGTGTCACCTGCCCTTTCATTCGCTCTGGTCATTCCCTGCGTAGCCACTGCTGCCCCTGGAGTCAGTGCCACACAGTTTAGCCCATTTGTTTTCTCTGGTTTGTTTGTGTACACCTCCGTGAAATGTAGGCTCCTTGAGGACAGAGTCCAGCCTTTGGTTTCTTTGGTATTGCTTATAGCATTGGCACAGTTCTAGGTACCCAGCTACTAGCGGATCATTTGGTGGGGAGCAGAGTGGGGTTATGTTCAGGTCTCATCCCCGGGCTTTCGTGGAGGTGCTAGTGCTGTAGTCAGAAACTGAGCTGGGAGCAGGAGTGGCTACATCTCCAACCGCTGGACTCCATGTCATTGTCCCACAGATCCCAGCTAGCTATCATCCCCCAGGAGCCCTTTTTGTTCAGTGGGACTGTTCGAGAAAACCTGGATCCCCGGGGCCTACATAAGGACAGGGCCTTGTGGCAGGCCCTGGAGCAGTGCCACCTGAGTGAGGTGATTACCTCCATGGGTGAGTGCTGGACCCTTACCCTAGAGCAAGAAGGGGGCAGGGAGGGCCTGGGCCCTGCAGTGAAGATGCTTTCCTTGCAGGTGGTCTGGATGGTGAGCTGGGTGAGGGGGGCCGAAGCTTATCTCTTGGGCAGAGGCAGCTGTTGTGTCTGTCCAGGGCTCTCCTCACAGATGCCAAGGTAAGGTGAGAGAAAGAGACAATAGAGAGGGCCGGGAAGGAGGCAGGGGGCAAGGGGGTGGGGAGGTGGAGTCCGGAGAGGTTTTAGGGGACCAAGTTCATTTTCCTTTTAGAGCTAAAAGTGTGGTAGGGGCTGTTGCTTGGGCCAGGCCCAGCCCACCCTACAGCCTCTCCTTTGTTATCCCCTACGGCATTCCCATATTCCAGATCCTGTGTATTGATGAGGCCACAGCAAGTGTGGACCAGAAGACAGACCAGCTGCTCCAGCAGACCATCTGCAAACGCTTTGCCAACAAGACAGTGCTGACCATTGCCCATAGGTGTGCAAACACCCAGTGACAGCCTAATCAGGGACTGTGGTAGCATGCATGAGCCTCCATTGCTTTCAGGGACCCCAGTGGTCAGGGCCTTAGAGATCCTGCCCCCCAAATCTCAGCTCTTCCTTCTCCAGGTACTGCCTAGGGCCCTTTATAGCACATTATCTGAGGGACTTTGCAGTCCCTTCCCCAGCACCAAGCCAGGGGTTAAAGCCTGTGGGGACAGACTTGTGTCCCAAGGGGAGAGGAGGGAAAGCAGGTCAGTGTTCTCACTTAGGTCATTGTCCCTTATCCCTTACACTGACCATCTTCCCCGTCACAGGCTCAACACGATCCTGAACTCAGACCGGGTGCTGGTGCTACAAGCGGGGAGAGTGGTAGAGCTGGACTCCCCGGCCACCCTGCGCAACCAGCCCCACTCGCTATTCCAGCAGCTGCTGCAGAGCAGCCAGCAGGGAGTCCCCACCTCACTCGGAGGTCGCTGAGCTCCATCCCACACTCTGCAGGGTTCTCCCCTCTCTCTGATCCAGGCCGGGCCTGTACAGAGGTGCTGGCTGCTTGTTTATATTCTCCTCTGGGGCTCTACCTCTCCACACTTCCCCAGAAGGGAAATGGACACCCTGGGTTACTCTTTGGAAATCACTCCTTGGTGGGCAGCATCCTGAGGCTTCCCCAGAACCAGGCCTCTGCTCTGGCCCTCTTGCATCTGGAACGCCAGGTGGGTTTTTCTGGCATAGGAGCCCACTTGCATTTTCATAGTTTTATTTGATAAAATCCCATCTTACATTCTGTGTATTAAAAAAATAGTATTTCTGGTGTGAGGCTGAGGTCTCCTCTGTGTGTGTACCCAAGCTGAAGGGTGGTGAGAAAGGACCACTCCAGTCTGAGGGGTGGAAGAGGTGAGGAAGGGGGCCGGAAAGCCCCCACCTCCATCACAGTGCTGTGGTCTTTCCAGGCTCAGGGGGCAAGTCAGGTGGCAGGGGGAGCCCTGCCGGCAGCATGCTAACCTGACACTCCTGGTCCTGGCATGCTGGAGCATAGTGTGGGGCAGGGTAGCAACAGGGTCCAGGGGGGCAGACACCCCGGCGCCAGGCCCTCAGGGTCAGCAACACAGTAGCCAGAACCAGGGCAGCAGTGAGGGCCCCAAACACCACCAGGGCTACCAAGCTAGGCTCACCTAGCCCAGCCTCTTGCCTCCGCACCACCTCCTTCACTGAGATCCGCAGCAGACCAGCCCCTGCGCTGTGGGGGGCTGGCCCCGTGGCAGGTACCACCACAGCTGAGGTGGGCCCTAGAGGGGTGTCCACTGTGGTTGGGGGGTGTGGGACAGGTAAGACAAGCTCACAAGTCTTGCCACCATAGCCACTGGGGCAGAGACAGTCGAAGTCATGGACACGGTCCCGACAGCGGGCCCCTCTCTGGCATGGGCGGCTGGCACAGTCATCCAGGTTGATGGTGCAGAAGCGTCCAGCAAAGCCCTCAGGACAGAGGCAGGAGAAGCGGTTTATGCCATCAAGACAGGTGGCACCATTAGCACAAGGCCGCATCAGGCAGTCATCCACGTTCACCTCACAGCGGGCACCCACAAAGCCCACCAAGCAGCGGCATGTGAAGTTGAGGGCAAAGCCCTGGTCATCCTGGCACTGCCCGCCATTGCGGCATGGGGAGCTGCAGTAGGGGTGGGAGAGGACATGAAAGCAACTTAACACCTGTAGGGTAGCCCAGGTCCGTATCCTGACCTCTGCTCACCATGTCACCTTGGGCGACACTCTCCGAGCCTCAAATACCTCATTTTATTTTTTATTTATTTATTTTTGAGACAGAGTCTCGCTGTGTCGCCCAGGGTGGAGCACAGTGGCGCGATCTCAGCTCACTGCAAGCTCCGCCTTCCAGGTTCACGCCATTCTCCTGCCTCAGCCTCCTGAGTAGCTGGGACTACAGGTGCCTGCCACCACGCCCAGCTAATTTTTTGTATTTTTAGTAGAGACGGGGTTTCACTGTATTAGCCAGGATGGTCTTGATCTCCTGACCTCGTGATCCGCCTGCCTCGGCCTCCCAAAGTGCTGGGATTACAGGCGTGAGCCACCGCGTCTGGCCAAATACCTCATTTTAAAAATGAGAATAAAAATAGTACCCAGCTTCCCTAATTGTGAGGGTTAAGTGAAATAATCAATATCAAGCAGTTAGCACAGGGCCCAGCCGGAAGGCAAGGCTCAGGATAAGTGTGCTATTATTATCCTTGCAGGCTTCTGGGCCTGATGTGGAAATGAGGACAAGTCCAGCCCTGCAGGCTGTTTCCTCATCCCTACTGTGACGCAGAAGGGTACAGACCAATGTTCAGGAGAGGATGAGGGGAGACCCAGGCCCCTCAACCTCCCCACACCCACCCTCCCCAACCAGAGCAGTCACATGTTTGTTACCTCTCTAGCTCCTATAGATTGTTGAAGAAATGGCTCAGAAGGTACAAGAAAAGAGTTGAGAAACCCAGAACTAGGAACACTTTGGCATGCAGGGGTTTTATCTGAGTGTCCCTGTGTTGTCTGACCCTCAGTCCCCTACCCTCCCAACAGTCCTGCCTCTTTTCTCATCCCATCACCAGGTTCTGGTCTAACCTTCCACTTACCCCGAGGGCCCAGCACTCACCCTGCCTGTTCACAGGGTCCAGCCTTGCGCTCGCAGTCACGCCCATGGAAGCCTGGTAGGCACACACAATGGTACTCACCGCCCCCGTCATACATGCACTGGCCTCCATTCTGGCAGGGGGACTGCGTGGTACAGATATGTTCATCTGGAGAAGGGACAGGAAAGGCTCTGGGATAACCCCTCCCATCTGGTCCCCAGACCAGACTTGTCCACACCTTCCAGGCCTCAGGTTCTATGGGTGTGGCTATACTACAAACCCAGCCCAGGCTGGTGTGGTATACTAGGGAGAGACAACAACACTGAATTTGGAGTCAGGAGGCTCCTGGCCCTGGCTCTCAGTCTGTCTCAAACTGACCTTGGGCTGGGTACAGTGGCTCATGTCTATAATCTCAGCACTTTGGAAGACCAAGGTAGGCAGATGGCTTGAGGTCAGGAGTTCGAGACCAGCCTGGCCAACATGGCAAAACCCCATCTCTACTAAAAATACAAACATTAGGCCGGTGCAGTGGCTCACACCTATAATTCCAGCACTTTGGGAGGCCGAGGCAGATGGATCACTTGAGGTCAGGAGTTCGAGACCAGCCTGGCCAACATGGTGAAACCGTATCTCTACTAAAAATACAAAAATTTGCCAAAGTGGCGGGTGCCTGTAATCCCAGCTACTTGGGAGGCTGAGGCACGAGAATTGCTTGAACCCGGGAGGCAGAGGTTACAGTGAGCTGAGATCGCACCACTGCACTCTAGCCTGGGTGACAGAGTGAGACTCCGTCAAAAAACAAAACAAACAAAAAAACAAACCTGACTTTGAGCAGGTTACAGCTCTTCTGTGGGCCTTAGTTTCCTGATCTGTAAAATGAGTACAATTTTTAGCAGCTGCGTTTCCTACCCCATGGGGTTATGTTGAGGATCAATTCAGACAACACATAAAAAGTCTAAGATTAAAAAAATGATAAAATACTATGTATTTGAGGATTTGACAAGGACACAATAGGCACTCAATAAATACTGATGGCTGTTCCCCTAAAAACCTGGGGTTCCCAACCAACAACTACCCTTCCTCCCCCCTACCTTTGTCACAGAACTTGCCTGCCCAGCCACTGTGGCAGATGCACTGCCATGGCTGGTGGCAGGTACCATGCTGGCAGCCAGGCATCCTCACACAGCGCTCACAGTGCAGCCCCTCCCAGCCCGGGTCACACCTGATGGGGAGAAACACAGGGTCAGGGTTCTGGGTTGTGGATATGAAGAAATGGAGGAGACAGAACCAGAGCTTCTAGCAACCAAGAGGACATATGACAGCCCCTAAGGGAAAGCAGACCTGTCCCAGGTAGGTGTAGGACTGTGCAAGGTCATAGGACACATATATGGAATCAGACCATCAGACACCAGCTCTCAAACCCTGGTTCTGTATTTTAACCTGAGCCTCAGTCTTCTCATCTGTAAATTGGGTATACACCTTGCAGGGTTGAGTAGAGGAAGAAATAAGATGTCTATAAATGCCTCCAGTACCCCTCCTGGCATGTCTGAGGTGCTCACAAACATTTAAAGAAGAATGACCTTGAAAGGCCATCAGGGCCGGGTGCAGTGGCTCACGCCTGTAATCCCAGCATTTTGGGAGGTCGAGGTGGGTGGATCACTTGAGGTCAGGAGCTCAAGACTAGCCTGGCCAACTGGGTGAAACCCCGTCTTTACAAAAAAATACAAAAAATTACCCGGGCATGGTGGTGCGCATCTGTAATCCATTATTGAGGAGGCTGAGGCAGGGGAATCACTTGAACACAAGAGGCAGAGGCTGCAGTGAGCTGCAGTCGCACCACTGCACTCCAGCCTGGGCAACAAAGCGAGGCTCCGTCTCAAAAACAAAACAAACAACAAAAAGTCATCAAGACTATCCTCCCACCATGATTCCAGGGCAAACGCTTGACCCATATTTTAAAAGCCTTCCAGGGGTGAAGAGTTTCAAAGACCCCCAGTCAATTGAACTGCCTGCCCCATCAGCTCATTTCCTTATGTCCACTTTCCTCCTGCTACAGAATGTGCCCAATCTCCACCCTCCACCCCAGTGAGTCAACTACTCAAACTCATCAAGGAAGATACTCTTTCATTGTAAGTGTTTCTCCCCAGCAACTCTCCCTGCAGCATTTCTTTTCCAGGCTAAACAATTTCCCTTTCTCTCTTTCCTTTATCTTTCCATTTCCTCATGGCACCCAATCCCCAAGCTCTCTAAAGCTTTAGGTCTCTCTCCCTGTATCTTGAGGAGCAGTGGTTCAGACAATCCCTGGATCAGATTTGGGAGATTAAAGAAGTGGGGAAATAAAAACTGGAAGAAGCAAGAAAGGTGAGGTAAAGGGGAAAGGGGGGCTAGCCAGTCAGCCATAGGAGTGATGAGGCATGAAGAGTAGAGTGTGAAGCCCCTAGACACTCTGTTGTGCATGTGAAGGGCTTGGAAATGGGTACCAAAGGGTTTGGGGGCACGTGCTCAGGACAGGTACCTGCAGGAGCCGTCAGGTGCACAGCAGCCGTGGGCCAGGTCACAGTGGGAGCTGCAGTCATCGGCTGCAAGAGATTGATGTGGGAGGGGTGAGTCTGAGTCAGGGCACAGCTCGCTGGGATGCGGGACTCAGGAGAGGATTGGGGTTCCGGTAACTGAGTGGATTCAGCCCTAGGGCAGGACATAACACAGAAACCCATCCCATTCCAAAGAGGCAACCTGGTCTTCCTTGCCTCGCGGGTCGGAGCGACTGCAGTGCCGTCTCCGGCCGGCAGAGGTCAACGTGCAAGCGAGGACGGCTGGACAGGGCCGCGACTGGAGCCCGGTGGACGCGCTCACCTCGGACAGGCTGACCGGGAGCCCCCAGAATGCACAACAGGCACACAAGATGCAGGCAGCGGCAGCCGCTGGGCATGGTCAGCGCCGGCACCAGGGGGGACGGACGGATGGACGGCCGGACGCGTGAACACCTGTGGGACGGCACCAGTTGGGAGGCGGTCAGACGCGGAGATAGCGGCACGGATACGGGTTCCAAGTGACAGGAGCCGCCGAGGGAGAGGAGCGCCGGGACAGAAGAAGGGGATGGGGGTAGCGGGAGGGTGGGGGCAGGGAAGGGTTGAGCAGGCGAGGAGCGCGAGAAGAGCGAAGACAGGAACCCGGGAGCCAGGTCTGCAAGGAGGTGAAAGATGGGCAGCGTGGAGCGAGGCCAGGCGCGGGAATGGCTGGGGCTGAGATCGCAGTCAGGACAGAGGGGTCTGCGGGATGGGGACAGCGCCAAGAGACGGCCTCAAACACCGAGGGAACGCGGGGGCCGGAGGGAGGGACGGTTCCCGGCAGCGAGCAGTCTCCGCCCCACGGCTCCGACAGCCCCCCCACCACTCTCTCCCACGTCCCCTTCCTATCTCCGCCGCGCTGGGCTCGGCGGCAGCGCGGGGCCTGGAATCCCCACCGCACCCGTAGCCCCGCACGCCCTGTCCCCTCAGTCCTCACCTCCGGCGGGGAGGTGCCGCGCCCCGGGGCGCAGAGCGAGGCGGGATCCGACGGGCGCCGCCGAGGGGCTGTGGGGGAGCGCGGGGCCGCCCCTAGCTGGCCGCGGGGCCGGGCGCCGAAGCGGCTGCCATACGAGCCAAGCGCTCAGGAATCTGGGGCTCCAGGCGACCCCGAGCGGCGGCGGCGGCGGCTCCTCGCGCGCGCTTAGGCCCCCTGCCAGGGGCGGAGCCCGCCCCCCCCCCCCCCCCCCCCCCCGCGACGCACGGCGCACACCTAGCACCCGGCGCTCCCCGGGGCCCCGGCTCTTCGCGGCCACCCAACGCCCTGGACCCAGCTTCCTTCCACGAGAGGAGGAAATCTTGAGTCTCAATTGGAGCAAACTATTAAGCCAGAGGCGCGCGACCCCGTTATTCTCCCATCTCCCATGCCCACTTTCCCGACGAGCTCTCCGCGGCCCACGCCCCAGCCCTGCCCTAGCCTGTCCGCCGCTCATCACGCTTCTCATATAGATCCATGCACACGCAGGCAATCGCTCCCCTCCCTCCGCGTGTCACCAGCCCACGCCTCCCCGCTTGTAAAGCCTTCATCACCGGCTTCATCTGTGTGCTCCTCTGCTCCTCCTCGCCCTCCGCTTCTTCCTGTCCATGTCGCCGTCTCCAGCCTTCCAAGATCAACCTATCCCTATATAAATATAACCCGATCCATCCACCCACCCACACCCTGGCCCTACCCCCACCACCCTTCCCTCCCTCAAGTCTCAGCCCTTCCACCGCATTCCTTTTTGTGACTGCATCCGAGAATCCTTTCTGGACTGGGAATGTACCTGACTCTGTAAATGTGAGCACAAAACCCCCTCCACCGCCGAGTTCCTTCTCCCGTACCCTATCACGTTCGTCCTTGGCCTCAGGCTAATCCTCAACTGCCCAAACCTGGAGCTCAGATTGAGAGTAACGGAGGGGGTGTGAGGGAAGGCTGTCCTCCAGGCCTCTTTGCCGCTCCTGGCTAATGGCTCAGAGACACATTTCAAGACAAGGACCCAGCCAAGCGCGGTGGGCTCACGCCTGTAATCCCAGCACTTTGCGAGGCTGAGGCGGACGGATCACCTGAGGTCAGGAGTTCGAGACCAGCCTGGGCAACATGGTGAAACCTATCTCTATTAAAAATACAGAAATTAGCCAGGCGTGGTGGCGCGAGCCTGTAATCCCAGCTACTCGGAAGGCTGAGGCAGGAGAATCGCTTGAGAACCTGGGAGGCAGAGGTTGCAGTTAGCCGAGATGGCGCCACTGCATTCCAGCTTGGGGGACAGAGCAAAACTCCTACCCCCACCCCCACCCCCCACCCCCCCCCACACACACAAAAAGACAAGGACCCAAAACATAACATCTAGTTTGTGGAGGACAACAGGGCAGAGGTCAGGAACGCTAGCGTCCATCTCTAGTCCTTCAGATTGAGATTTCACCATCTTTAAATTCAAAACATTGGAAGGAGCAGTCCCTAGTCCGTGCAGAGCAGCTTCCCACCTTCACGTAGCCACCTCCACAGGCACAGAGCCCCTGGACTCATTTTTCCTGCAGTCTCGTTGGACATAACACTCACACCTACCCAGCTCCCTAGCTGGCCTCCTCTCAACTGTGATCACCTCTTCCCTGAAGAGCTCTCTGAATTTGAGTAATGACATGGCTCTACCATTCGTTTTGTTTAAACACATTTTTTTTTTTTGGTAAAAAATTGCAAACAACCTATAATTCAAAAATTACTGTAGGCAAATAAATTATGCCACATCAACACTATGTGACTGTTAAAAATACTTTTTTTTTTTTGATGTCTAAAGATGTTCAAAAAAGCTAAGGATATGTAAAGTGGAGTGGGGGGAAGCCGGAAACAAAGAAGAATGTATTTCAACATTGGCAGTGCTTTTCTCTGGATGATTGAATTGTAGAGGTTTTTGTTTTTGTTTTTTCTTATTGATACTTTTCAACATTAACACTTTTTTTTTTTGAGACGGAGTCTTGCTCTGTCGTCCAGGCTGGAGTGCAGTGGCTGATCTGGGCTCACTGCAAGCTCCGCCTCCCAGGTTCAGGCCATTCTCCTGCCTCAGCCTCCAGAGTAGCTGGGACTACAGGTGCCCACCACCACACCCAGCTAATTTTTTTTGTATTTTTAGTAGAGACGGGTTTTCACCGTGTTAGCCAGGATGGTCTCAGTCTCCTGACCTTGTGATCCTCCTGCCTCGGCCTCCCAAAATGCTGGGATTACAGGTGTGAGCCACCACGCCGGGCCTTTTTTTTTTTTCTTTTAACAATGAACATCTATAACTTTTTTTTGTTTTTGTTTTTGTTTGTTTGTTTGTTTTTCCTTGAGATTGAGCATCACTCTGTCGCTCAGGCTGGAGTGCAGTGGTGCAACCTTGGCTCACTACAACCTCGTCTCAGCCTCCAGTATAGCTGGAATTGCAGGTGCAGCACCACCACACCCAGCTAATTTTTGTTTTGTTTTGTTTTGTTTTTTGAGACATTCAGTGCTTTTCTCTGTCAGATATAATTATCTGACATTATGTTAAATATTTATTTGTTTATTGACCATCTCCCCACTACAAAGCAGACTCCAGAGGTCTGGGATGTTTTCTTGCTTGTCACAGCATCCCCAGTGTCTAAAACAATGCCTGGCATAGTAGGTATTCAATAAATTTTTTTAAGTTCTGGCTTGTTTAATTAATTATTATTGTTATTATTATTAGAGACAGGGTCTGGCTCTGTCGCCCAGGCTGGAGTGCAATGGCTTCATCTCAGCTCACAGCAACCTCCGTCTTCTAGGTTCAAGTGATTCTCCTGCCTCAGCCTCAGCCTCCTGAGTAGTTGGGATTACAGGCGCGTGACATCATGTCCAGCTAATTTTTTGTATTTTTAGTAGAGATGGAGTTTCACCATGTTGGTCAGGCTGGTCTCGAACTCCTGACCTCAGGTGATCCACCTGCCTCAGCCTCCCAAAGTGCTGGGATTTCAGGCCTGAGCCACCACGCCTGGCCCCGGCCTTGTCTTTTATTTGTTGATTCTGTCTCCTTTTCACCATCCCCTATCCCCTTTACATCCACCCTTCCCCTTCCCCAGCTTTGATTCCATGCCTCATCATTATAATTAGTCACTTGCATTATTATAATTAGTCACTTGCATTATTATAATTAGTCACTTGCATCATTATAATTAGTCACTTAACTCCCCGGCCCCTTCTGCTTCCATCATATTCATGTGACAAAACTCCACTGCTGTGACGACTTCTTTTTTTCTTTTTTTTTTTTTTTTTGATATGCAGTCTTGCTCTGTTGCCCAGGCTGGAGTGCAGTGGTGCAATCTCGGCTCACTACAACCTCCGCATCCTGGGTTCAAGCAATTCTCTTGCCTCAGCCTCCCGAGTAGCTGGGATTACAAGCTCCTCATTCCACCACATCTGGCTAATTTTTTTTTTTTTTTTGTATTTTTAGTAGAGACAGGGTTTCACCATGTTGGCCAGGATGGTCTCAATCTCCTGACCTTGTGATCCACCTGCCTCGGCTTCCTAAAGTGCTGGGATTATAGGCATGAGCCACCGTGCCCAGCCACTGTAACTTCTTCAACCTTCACCCAAACAGCTAAAGAAACATCCCTCCAAACTAGCTGGTCTCACTTAAATTCATGACTCTCAAATACTGTTTGTGTTGATCACCAATGCTCTCTGATGTCCTTAGTTCTGCACACTCCTCCACCCACCCCAACAACTATTTTATTATCCTCTCTCCTCCAACCTCCACCTCCTCCTCCTCTCTGCTCACTCTGTTGATGGTGTTGCTCTCAACTTCATGGAGAAAATAGAAGCAATCTGAAAGAATTTCTACACGCCCCCACCACCTACCTGCATCTGTCTTCATATACTCTGACATCCCTCTTGTACATGAACTGCCTGTGTTCTTACCTAAGTGAATTCCTTCACCTGGGCATTAGTTCACATCCTCTCTCACCTGGGTAACTTCAGGGACCTCCAATTCTCTCCATCTCTTCTGCATCATCAGTTTGCCTCCCTCTATGAGAGCATTGTCATCAACCTCTCTCAGATCTTAAATAAATAAGTAAATCACCTCCCTCAACCCCCTACATTTGTCTGCTCTTCTTTACTGAAAACTCTTCACAAATATTAGTCTATCCTTGCTCTCATCACTTCTCCTCTCATTCTGTCTTGAACCCACTCTCACCCCACTATTCCAGAATCACTCTTGTAAAGGTCACCAGTACCCTCACCACTGCCAAATCCAATGATCAATTCTCAGTCCTCATCTCACTGGCTCTGTTAACTGCATTTGCCAGTTTACTGGGTTTCTGGGATCACTCACTAACTTCTTCACCTCTGCAATGGCCACCCCTTCTCGGTCTCCTTTGCATCCTCCTCATCTTCTCAACATCTTCCTCAGCCCCAGGGCTCCATCCTCAGGCCTCTTGTCTTTTTTTTTTTTTTTTTTTTTTTTTTGAGACGGAGTCTGGCTCTGTCGCCCAGGCTGGAGTGCAGTGGCCGGATCTCAGCTCACTGCAAGCTCCGCCTCCCGGGTTTACGCCATTCTCCTGGCTCAGCCTCCCGAGTAGCTGGGACTACAGGCGCCGCCACCACGCCTGGCTAGTTTTTTGTATTTTTTAGTAGAGACGGGGTTTCACCGTGTTAGCCAGGATGGTCTCGATCTCCTGACCTCGTGATCCGCCCGTCTCGGCCTCCCAAAGTGCTGGGATTACAGGCTTGAGCCACCGCGCCCGGCCAGACCTCTTGTCTTTTCTATCTTCACTCACTCCTTTCATGATCTCATCCAGCCTAAGTTTTGGGAATGCTAGCTGTAAGTTAATGACTCCCAAATTTATATTTCCAGTCAAGCTTTCTGCCTGAAATCCAGATGCATGTGTCTGGCTGGGCATAGTGGCTCATGCTTGGTAAGCCCAGCACTTTGGGAGGCTCAGATGGGAGGACTGCTTGAGCCCAGCAGTTTGAGACTTCAGTTTTGTTGTTCAGGCCTGAGCAGCCAAACAAGACCCTGTCCTTATTAAAATAAATAATAAATTAATTAATTTAAAAATAAATTTGGTAGTATCAGACTTGGGTGTCTGACTGCTGCAAACTCCTGATCTCCAGCCCAAATAGTCTTCCTTTGTCAGCTGTACCCATTCCAGTCAATGCCTAGTCCATCT